GCACGTGGGTACCTAAATTTCTTCAGGTGCCACCAATCGAGGTACATTAACTTGTTCCCTAATTGCTTTTGTGTGGCATCTGTGGCGTTTGCCGTAGTGGTGCCCGTTCGATAGGTCAGATTTTGTTCTATAACTGATCTGCATTTGGGCAATGGAGCTAAGGAGTTCTGCCTCGCAAGGACCAGATGGACAAGGCTGTGCTGGTGAGGAATCAACAGACCTGCTTTTGCCAAAGGAACTCCAGGAGCAGGTTATGGCTATCGCTAAATCCAATCGCATCGCTGACGGAATCAAGAAAGTGATCTCAGCGATCACGCGCGAGCTGCACTCTCTTCATATGGAGAACGTGGGTTTGAGGAAAGAACTAGATACTCTTCGACAACAGTTTCCGCAAGAGTTGTGTTCGAATAATAGTGACGGTCATGGACTAGATGCTAGGCGCCTAGAGACTTCTGGTAGTGGCTCAGCCTCCGCAAAAAGGGAGACTCCCTTTGAAGAAGTCGAAAGGCAACGGTCTATTGTCATTAGTGGTCTACCGGAATTAAAGTCACAGAATTCTAGAGAGCGCTTATCGTATGATTTTTGTAGTGTCTGTAATATTTTAGACTTCTTGAATGTTGAGTGCAATCCCGTCACTGTGTATCGGTTAGGCAGGCCTCAAACAGGCAAGGATAGGTTGATGAAGGTAGTTTTGCCCGCTCGTTTTTTCCAGCGTGTAGCACTGAAAAGAGCCCCGCGCCTCCGCTACTACTCTGGGCGAGGGATCTACCTAAGGGAGTCCCTCACACCAGAGCAGAGGAAGCGGAGGCGGGAGGCGAGAGGCGGCACGTCAGGGGAGGGGGTCGGAGCGTCACCTAATGTCAATGGCACCCCATCGTCGCCTGTCGCTCTGAACCCCCACTACGTGACCAGTTCCCTTAGTGCCGAGGGAAACTGAGAACGTCTCCCCGGTGTTTACGTCCGATAAGTTTTTTCTATTCAAATGTACGATCAGTCTCAAAAAACGCTGATTTTTTGCGAATAGTGTTGGCCAAAAACTATGATATCTATGCTTTCTCAGAGACATGGTTGAAGTCTAGCCACACCCTGACCTCTCTTCTCGGGGATGTTATGGATAACTACTGTGTATCCAGATGTGATCGGCCCAAGAAATCCGGAGGAGGAGTCATTCTCCTGACTCAGCGTAGATTTTCCGTATCTCCAGTATTTTCTGAATCATTTGATGAATCTTTCGAAATACTTTGCGCTGACGTTCATAGTGAAACATGCAAGATACGAGTGATTGTGGTGTACAGAGCACCTTCTTGCACTAAAGAAAATTCATTGCTTCTTGTTAAAGCCCTAAGCGACCTAGTTTCGTGTGATCAACATAGCGTAATAGTGGGAGACTTCAATTTACCGGAATTTTGTTACCGAGTGGAGCAACTTCGTGGGTCATCTACGCTGTCTTGCTTCAAAGAACTCACTCAATGTCACAACCTTGTACAGCATGTCAGTGAGCCTACCAGAGGGGAAAACATCCTAGATTTGGTCTTCTCTAGTGCACCGTCACTCGTAAAGAGTTTGAAGATTGCTGCTCCCTTGGGATTAAGTGACCACAACAGTATCGAGTTCGAAATTATGTGCACACTGTCTGAACCCATATATGTTTACAGGCGTATGTTTTCCAAGTGCAATTTTGATAGACTTTGCTACGATCTTTCCCAAATACGTTGGGTTCCTTTGCTCGAGTCGAGATCCAGCGTGGATGATAAGTATGAGCTGTTCTTATCCGTTCTGCATACCACAATTGATTTGCATGTTCCATGGAAAAAGGTCCCCTGCTACAGAGCTATTCATCTCCCTAAACATTTGCAGAACATGTGGGAGCATCGGGAATGTCTTTTTAACGAAGGCAGACGGTTGAATACTTGGGATGAGTATAGAAGTTTCACGCAAAAATTTTATAAACATCTTAAAAGGTACAATGGTTACATCGAAAGGAAAATTATTGACTCCGGTAACGTGCGCTCTTTTCATAGGTATTTGAGTAGAAGGATCGACGATGTTGAACGAATTGGCTGCTTGATTAAAGGTGATAGAGTCGCTATCTCATCTACGGATAAAGCCAATATGCTAGCTGATCACTTCGAGAGCGTCTTTCAAGAAGATGATGGAAATGTTCCCACTTCCTTTAGTCCTGCTTCGAAGCCTATGGAGGACTTCCCTTGGTTTACTGGTTCCATGCTGTTTGATTTGATCGAAAGATGGCCTGCTTCTTCTTCCGTCACTCCTGATTTTGTGCCGTTCCTTGTCATAAAAAAGCTGGCTTCTGTCATCTGCGGACCTCTTGCTTATATATTTAATCAGTCGTTGACTTTCAGTGAGGTTCCTGAACGATGGAAACACTCTTTCGTTACACCTATACTCAAGAAGAACCTTCGTGCAACCCCGAAAACTATCGACCCGTGAGCATCACATCTCTGTTTTGTAGGCTCTTCGAAAAAGTCTTGAAAGACCATGTCAATCACCATCTGACGCTCAATCATGTCATTTCAAAGCAACAACATGGTTTTGTTTCCGGCCGATCCGTTGAAACAAACCTGATCGAATGCCTTGACGACTGGACTAAAATTCTTGACAATAAAGGCTCTTGTGATGTCATTTACTTTGACTTCGCAAAAGCTTTTGATAGAGTCTCACATAAGAAACTGATTCACAAGTTGGAAGCTCTAAGATTCCATCCTCTCTTGTAAATGGATTCCAATTATCTGAGCGGCAGAACGTTCCAGGTTAAAATCGATCATTCATTTTCTGATGTTAGACGGGTAGCAAGCGGCGTGCCTCAAGGCGGAGTGCTTTCGCCAGTTCTTTTCAATATCTTTACGGCTGAACTTCCCGACATGCTTCTTGGAGCAGGCGTCACTGCAAAGTTATACGCAGACGACTTGAAGATCTATAAACCTATCTCAGACTTGAGTGATTCGCGAAAACTGCAAGAAGCCATCGACCTGATAGTGAACTGGTCCAAAGAGTGGCAGTTGCCTATGGCTCCAGAAAAAACGGTGTACATGAATTTGGTGTCTGGAACTCCACCACCACTGCATTCCTACACGGTCAGTGGTGTCCCTCTTTCTCCAGTCGAATCTGTCAGAGATCTTGGTTTTTACTATAATAACAAGCTAGATTTTTCAGAGCACATCACGAGAAGAATTAAAATAGCTCAGCTACGCACATTTCAGATTTTCAAGGCATTATCAATTTCTAGTAAGGGAGCACTGCTACAAGCTTACAAGTCCTATGTGCGACCTTTAGTAGAATCTAGCACCACGGTCTTCAACCCTTCGAGTAAAAAGCACATTCATGCACTTGAAAAAGTGCAGAACAACTTTACTCGTAAATTACTTATCCGAATTGGAGGTTTCTTGTACTCCAAAATCCCAAACGCAGCAATTAGGAATAGGTATTTGGGGCTTCCTTCGCTACAATCAAGGCGCAAAGTTTTCGATGTCTGCCTAGTCCATAAAATGATACGGGACTTGGGTGAGTCTCCCAACGTTTTCAGAATGACTCGCTCTAGAACAAGAGGAGGGCTCATGAAAATCTCGCTCTCGCGACCCAAAACAAATCTGCGGGCAAGAACCTTTACTTTCAGAGCGGGTAGTCGGTACTTGCAGCTAGCCAAAAACATATCATCTAGCTTGTCTCTACCTCAATTCAAACATCGTGTGGCCAAGACCCTGCTGAAGTATGAAGTACTCTAGCGCTTTATGAGACTGATTATCAAACATCGTGGTGTGCGCCTACTATTTTGGTAGTTTTATCTATTCGCTGTATGTCATGTTCAGTTCAGATTTTGGTTGTGTTTTATTGTTTCTAACGTGTGCCTTTCGCAGACGTAATAAACTTAAACTTAAACTTAAGTATAAAAAGTCAATGAGGCAGAATGCGACAATGAAATTGAATGGAATTTGGGTAAGTGCTGGGCGTCGCTCACGTGCAATAATTTCGCGCCATGTGTCTTTGTCGTCCTAAATTCTTTTATTTATTTTGAACATTTATTTGTTCGTTGGTTTCAATCTCCCAAGACTAGGACAGGTTCAACAAACGGTGTCGTCTTGAGCATGGAAGAAGAATAGCGTGAACTCCTGATCGTGCTGCATGTAGAATTCCAACAAATTTCCGGCAGTCCATTTGAATTTTTGAGTGGTGAACGAACCTTAAAAGAGATAATGTGGCTTTATGCAGATCTCACTACTCACCACCATAAGACGTCGTTCATACTGCGATCTAATTATTGATTAATTCTTAATATCACGCGCCTATCGCTCAATCAGTATTGATAGCCTAACACTTTTCTGTCAAAATCTCCATATCTCAAATTTTTTTGGCTTGCATCAATCTCCTTTTTCGTAAATCGCATTTTCAATTCTTTGCCGACGCCACATTTAAGCTATCCATAAAGACTAGACTCTCATGTCACATGTTATCCTCATGAATTTCATCAGATAAGCTTCTTACGGGGCGGAAGTGGTGTAGTGGCAAGTGGCACGCTTACCACGCGAGCGGTCCGGGGATCAAATCCTGGGTCGTGAGTCGCCCGGGCCAACCAAGCCTTCCATCCCTCCGGGGTCGGTTAATTGGTACCAGACTTGTCTGGGAGGATAAAAACACTGACTTGTACATCGGCTGGCCCCCGCAAGTCATTGTATAGGCCACATCGCATTCAAACGCCACTACGAATGTACAAATGGAAGTAGAATGCGTGCCGCATCCCAAAAAGGGATTGATCAACGGCAAATGCTTTATCCTTTTTCCTTTATGCATCAATCTCCTAATCCTCTAAGCCATGGAGGATGTACGCTCTCTAACAGTTGCACGCTTCGCGAAATCTGCATGGCTATGACGCTGCGCATCCGCACGCCACCTTTGTAAATATTGCGTTCAGGATCACCTTTTCCTGTTTCTATGGAGAATCCTTACTAAATAGTTCTGGCCTTCTTCAAACGTAAATGTAAGAATTACATACCGGCAGGAATAGTGAGCAGCTCCAGAGGCACTTGTAGAGGTGAAGCCTTAGGGTAGGGATGAAGCGGTGGCTGAAAGTGTCATATTTAGAAAGCTCAATTCTCACGACGTGGTACAATTTGGCTCCACAATCTTGAGTTTTTCGTCGGAAATATTGCTTTTTCTAAGAGATAAAGAAAAGTTACCGCAATTGGTGAAAAAATCTCATATTCGCCCGATGACGTCATCTCGCATGTTCCTCCGAGTTCGACAGGAAGACAGCATTCGTCGATGTGCTCTAGTAACGTCTCCTTTACGTTGTCGCTGCAGATTGTGATCTTTTTCTAAAAGACGTGGATGTGATTGTCTTGATCCTAGTTTGATTTAATCGATATATTGATCGTCAAATATTGCTATATTCAACTTTTTTCCAAGTGAAAAGCAATAATGTATCTGTTCACAATAAGAATCAGTGCTGGTTGTTCCCGACTTGATTCGATACAGTAGTCATGACACCGATCTCAGCGCTTCGATGTACATTGCTACCTCCTAACTCAGCTCCAGGCCGACTGGCTCTGCACCTTTCATGCCCCGAGATCCCACTGGTTCTAGAAAAATTCTTCACCACTTTCCTCCTCTAACGACGCAAGTAGGACAGAGGCCAGCAAAAACGTCGT